CTTTCCTTTTACTTGACAATTTTCACTAACAGTTCCTACAATATGAAATTCAACTCAAGTTAAATGAAAAACAGCAAGCAAAACAGGATTTCCTTAGTGTATCAGAGTATTAGAAATAACTTGTCTTCTTTGTACTTTTACATACGTTTTATGTCTAAATTTGAAAATTTTTAAGACGACATCTCTGTGACTTTTAAAAATACCATAGTCATGACAATGGATTTTCCTGAAGTACATATCAGAGTTGTTTGCTCTTGAGAACACATTTAAGGCTACTACACATGCGATACATATCATTTTAGTTTGCACATCCTTTTGGGATTATGAAGAATAACCATTTCATTTTACATTGCAAATTTAACCTTTAATCTGTAACTTGGATAGATCGCAAAGTAGAATTTTAAGTTTTCTCAGTAGGCTTTTTTTCCAAATAACATATCTCGAGGGCACATATATTTTTTTCCTCATTACATAATTTGCATCAGTGGGCTCTTGTATTGGCAGTTTGTGTTGGTCGTGATTTACTCTTGCAAAACCATCTTTACAGCGAAACAAACATGAAAGAGATCTTCCCCAACGCAAGGAAAATAATCTACTGCAGTAACAACGTCAAAGCCATTGGTGTTCCAGGCTGTTCTTGGAAAGCAGATCGGTCAACAGTCCTAAGATCCTTTCCTTTCGTGATTCTATTCCTTTTTCACAACTGTGCAGTCACTGTCCTCTTCTTCTACTCTGAAACACCAAAACCAACTTTTCTGTTTGAAGACCAAGTGTTTTCACTGGCACAGGACGATATGGAATAAACCCCAAAGACGGCGGGATGTCGGGTCTCTCCTCCAGTCGCGTCCTCCTCCGCGTCGGCGTCCGATTACTCCTTGTCGACCATCTCGTCGCACCCGAGCTCCTCGGTCAGGCGGTTGACGACCATCAGCGAGAAGAGCTCCTCGATGAAGGCGAGAGGATCGAAGGGCGTCTTCTCATAGTGCATCTGGAACCTGCCGTCTAGGGCGGCTCCCGGCGCCCGCGAGCTCCGCAGGAACATCTTGTTGGCCTCCTCCAGGGCGGCCGAGACGCGGTAGCCGGCCCGCTCAGCGGCTCCTCCTCCGGGTAGTCGTAATCATCCTCCCAGTCGTCCAGCTCCAGGCCGGGGCCCGGCTGCTCCCCGGGGCTGGGCCCGCGGGCCAGGCCTGCTCTCCCGCGAGGCGCCACCATGGGCTGCGCGCCCTCCTCCTCCTCCATCGGCCCTTCCTCCTCCAGGAGCGGCGCGGCCCCGCTGTGGGCGGCCTCCCGGCTCCCGCCACCGCCTACCTCCATCTGGGGAAGGTCACCCTCGCCCGGCATCACGTCCATCTGCGGGTCGTTGCACTCTTCGTACAGCTCGCACAGCTCTGCCATCTCCAACGTGGCTGAAACCGCGGGAGCACTCTACAGCCCATTTTATGAGACAGGGTTTAAGTTATACAGGTGGGGCTCAAATTTGTGATCCTTCTACCTAGAGCGGGGCTACCTGTGCAGGCCACCATGCCTGGCCTGATGTTTTACTTTTGAAGGCATGAAATTCCAAAGGTTTTCTTTAAATCTTTGTAAATTGGATGGAAAATGAGATATTGTTAGCTCCTTTGTTAGAAATTTATCTGGTTTTCTCTTTTTTTTTTTTTTTTTGTGGAACTGGGGACCAAAGTTGGGACCTTGCACTTCCCAGGCAGGCACTTATGCTGCTGAGCTATAACCCTGGCCCTGGTTTTCTATTTCAAGCGCCTGATAATTCCTGATGTAAAAATGGCATTCCTGTTTCCAAAGTTTTCTGCTAACAGTTAGTATAGGAATAGCTGCTACTTTGCTTTTACTATGTAAGTAAACTTGGAATTAAAAATGAATGGAATTTAAAAGCTCTTTAAATAAAAAAAAATTCTTTGCAGAATATGTATGTGTACTGTCTGCAACTAAAGATTTTTTTTTTTTTTTAAAATGAGCAGAATATCTTTATTGAGAGAAAGAAAGCTCCTGTCTGAGAGAGGGACAGGAGGGGGGGGGGCGAGCGGGTAGTTCCCCCTGGAAGTTGTCTCTTGCAGGGACTTCTATAGAGGAAAACCATGCGGTGAGGCGGGCCTAAGGTGGTGGAGAAGACATGGGAACTTGCTTAGTTGGGCATGAGGTGGGACAAAACTATGGTCAACTAATGAGATTACAAGCACCATTGCTCAGGTAAAATTGATTAAATCCAGTATCAAATGGGAAAGCGAGTCACGTAGCAAGCGGGCATGAATACTGCAACTAAAGATCTTAAATCATCTTCTGGAACATTCGTCCTCCTTTTTTGGTGCAATGCTGGGGTCTTGCACATGCTAGGAAAGCACTGTACCACTGAGCTATTAAGCCTAGTTTTGGAACATTCTTCTTAAAACAATTATTATTTTTTTTGGTAAATAATTATTCTTTTGTTGTTTTATTTTTGAGACAAGGTCTTGCTGTGTAGTCCAGGCAGGCCTTGACCTCATTAGGTAGACCAGGCTGGCCTTGAATTCCCCGTGATCCTCCTGATTCAGCCTCCTCCGTGTTGAGATCACAGTCACGAGCCTCCATGCCCCACTTTAAAACTATTAATTCTGAAACACATGATGTTGCTGTTTAGAAAGTGTCTCCCAGCTTCCTGTGGTCAGTTATCATGTTGGTTCTCACAGTAGACAGTAATGTGAACAAACTGACTGAAAAAACGAAACTGTAGTATTTGATTTTTAAATTTAAAAATATTTTATGGCAGTGGGGCTGGGACCCAGGGGTTTGTACATGCCTGGCAAATGTTGTGTTACTACGCTAGAGCCCCACTCCCTGAAACAGGAATTGGAATATTAATTTTTTTGTGGGGAGGCAGGTGAGGGAGGGGGTTCTGAAACCACATGATCTACCAACCTGCAGCTTCTAATTCTTCTTCACTTTGCTTTTTCTGCAGTCTGAATTGTTCAGGGTGGCCTCAAACTCTGGGGCTCAAGGGATCTCCTACCTTGGGCGAGTGCTCTTGATTTCTTAAACTTACACTTCCATTTCGGTTTCCATGGTGGCCCACTGCAGAACACGCACGCTGCTGCTCCTTACTAGGCTCCTCGTCTTATGGACAGATGTGCCTGGGGGATGTGGTTGTAGCCCTTTAAGTCTTAGATCTCTGAGGCAGAATTTAGTAGTACAGAGAGGTGGTTAGGGTGTGGCACGACTGGGAAAGTAGGTGTGGCCTGTTAATTTTGAGATCCTGGTTTTCAACAGGATAGTTTAGACCTGGCCTCAGCCCCACGTGGGATTCTAGGACACAGATGTAGTTCTTGCTGGTTTCAAGATGTGGACAGTATAAAGAAGGTCACAGGCACCAAGAACTTGCTATCCTGGCTTACCTCGCTGTAGCCCGCTCTTTCCTCCAGGATGTACTTTCTTTCTCTTCATTTTCACTTTTTCAAATAAATCTTCCACTACTTTTTGATCATTTCCTTCACTTCTTTGTTCAAGAGAATAACCTAGAATCCAGCTTCAGGAGAGGTGAGCAACCCAAAGCCCAAGAATGTGTCACTGGTGACCACTTTTAGAAGGAGCCCGGTAACAGTACTGTGGATTGAACCCAGGGTTACTCTACTCTTAAGTGACACATCCAGTCCTTATTTTTTGAGACAGGGTCTCACTAGTGCCCAGGTGAGATCTGTTGTAGTTCTCCTGCCTCAGCCTCCCTCAGTCTGGGATCATCCGTGTGTACCACTGTGGCCAGCTGCATCTTAGTTTTAAGTCTCCATGGGCTGTTTCAGTTGGCCAGGAAGCGGTGTTCTCTGGTTCTTGGGATGAATTCCTGTTCCTCAGGTTAGCCAGCTTCAAATGTGGGCTGTAGCCTGGCACTGTCTATTTCTGATGCCAGTGAATTGTTTCTTCTCTGTGAAGCAGGGTGATGATAGTTGAATTTTACTGTCAAGGTATGAAAAGCATTTGGATAGTACTTGGCCAACAGTTAATGGCACAGAATGTCAGATGACCTTATTCCTTTTGTTGTTTGTTTTTGAGACAAAGTTTCACTTTGGTCTTGAACTTACACTGATTTTCCTGCCTCAGCCTCCCAAGTGCTGGGATTGTAGTCATGTGCCACCAAGCCTGGCTCAGATGATGTTATTCTTCTATTCAGAATATACAGACTGGTCTTGACTCTTTTGGGTCAGACTTTTTTTTTTTTTGTATTTAGGACAGGGTCTATAGGGTCTCACTACACAGATCAGATTCATAGTGATTCTCCTGTTTGCAGCCTCCCAAGTGCTGGGGTTACAGGTGTGCGCCACCACGCCCAGTCTCATGCGTCAGACTCTTGAGTAGCTGGGACTATGAGCACCAGCCAACACATCTGACTGGTAACTACATTAAACACATTTGTTTGGGTAGAGAACTTACCATCACACTATAGGTAGGTAACTGTACCCTCCTGAAGCCACACATTTAAGCTGGGTGTTGTGGCACACATCTGTAATCCTAGCACTGGGAATGGTGGGACAGTAGGACTGCTGTGAGTTCGAAATCAGCATGGGCTACAGGAGACTGCCTCAAAAAAAAAAAAAAAAATCAAAACAAAGTACAGCAGAAAAATATACTATAGATCTATATAGGCATATTTTAGTATAAGCTTATGATTCAGCAGTTTTATGTCTAAATTCAACAAAGGGATCTCTGTCACCAATCTTTATTATTGAAAAGTTGCACAAAATAGTTTAAGTTTTATGAAAGTTTATTGAGTAAAAATAGGACTGTTGATGTGTATAGCTATTAAAATGCATTAAAATACTGGTATACGTTAAATACATATTTTTGTGACTTTGTATGCTTTACATAAAAATATATGTTCAAAGCAGTATTACATTTGCTAAGTTTCAAAGTCTTAAAAGCACATGCGCGCGCGCACACACACACACACACACACACACACACTTTTTCTGGTACTAGGAACTGAACCTAGGGCTTTAGGCTGAACTGAGCTACATTCCTGGCAGTATAATTTTTTCTTTTTTTTTTAATGTAGTACTAGAGCTGTTCCAGACCTGGCTAGCCGTTAAATACTTGCTTTTGTGGGATTAGCAACTGAACCCAGGGCTTTGCACTGAGCTACATCTCCCCAGTCATTTTTAAATTTTAAGACAGTGGCTAAATTACGCAGATTGGGCTCAAACTTGTAATCCTTTTGCCTCAGCTCCCAAAGTGCTGGATTACAGGCATGTACCACTACACTAAACAAACTTTAAAAATCGAAAGCAGGAGATGGGAGCGGTGAATCTCAGTGGTGGAATGCAGATCTAGTGCGTGTGAGGTCCTGGGCGCAATCTCCAGCACAGTGTTAAAGAAACTATAAAGCAAGTATTTTCTTTCTTTTTTTTTTGGCGGAACCAGTAAAACAAGTACTTCTCGTTAACTCCCTTCTCCCTACCCTAAACACCTAGTAGAATGGGTAGCGACCAGCTGCTTTGGTCTTTTCGTTGCATTAGGATGAAAACGTGTAGTTCTATAAATCTGCACCTCTATAGAGGTTTTACATGGGCAGGTGCTTGTCTTAGAATGTTTAAAAATCTTTCCTGGGGAAAAACAGAGTCACACTCATTAGAGAACAATAGGAAATACAGAACAGTTTGGCACACAAAACTACCTGTAATCTTTTCACTTAAATGTGCAAACCTACTGGCAATACTCTAGTGTGTTTATTTCCTGTCTCAAACACACACACACACACACACACACACACACACACACACACACACATATATAATTATAAAGATGGTTACATAGATTACAGAATTGGAGATAATATCTGTTTTGTTTTGAGACAAAGTCTGACTGTAGTGCAGGCTGGGTTTGAATTCATCATGTTCAAGTGGGTTTACACTGACCTCAAACTTGCTGCAGTCCTCCTGCATCAGCCTCCTAAGTGCTGGGATCACAGGAATATACTAATACACTTGTCTAAGATACTTTTTTAATTGAATTAAGTAGTATTCAGTTCTTTCCTTTCCCTTTATATATTTCATAAATATACGCATTTTGGAAATGGTACCTCACTGGTGCCTCAAACTCCTGGCTCATGACAAGATTTTCTTATATCCTTCCAAGTAGCTAAGACTACAGGCCTGTATCACCACACCTGTATTCTGTTTATATATTTTAATTTGCCAAAAACACTTCATTAATGTATTCATAATTTAATGACCTTTAACATTTTCTTCCGTATATTTATATTTAGTTATACACAACTGTAAAAGTGATAGAATTGTAAATATGTATTCCCTATTTTGGATAACTACGCCTCTCAGATTGTAATTCACCTGGCACCCAACCGCTTACGTTTTTCAGACCTCTCCAAGGCTGGACAAGCCCATGAGTCACAACCTGCGTACTTCCTGCCTGTCACGGAGGTCATGTTTTCAGGGGCCCATCTGGAAGGGACAGAGTCTGCATTCAGTCACACGTGGATAATTGAAGGTCCGCTTGTGAAGTTCACATGGGGAACTCCTACAAGCTGTAACACAGAGTTTATAGGTTTGTGATCCAACCTATTCCTGTCGCGGTGAATAAAGTGGATATTGTTACCTAGAAGAGAATAAGAATCAAAGGCTGAGGTCTATATTTTAAGATTATTCAGGAGGTTTATTGCTTACTAGAATCAAAGAAGCTTTTCACCCTTTAATTAGCCTAAAGGGAAAATTAATTACCTGGGGTACATCATAGTCTCTCTATAACGCTGAAATAATTTTTAATTATGGCAATAGAGCATGACAAAGATAATTAAATAAGTGATACTTAATGTTTTATGAGAGCCAAGAGGAAAGGTTCTTAAATTTTAACTTTCTGTTAGATTTTATTAAATATAATTAAGTAAAATGTTCTGTCAGACAAGCAGAGAACAAGATGGACAAAAACATCACGCCATAAAATCATGTTTCTTAAATATATATAATGGAAGATCTCAAAATACACTCCCAAATACTGATTTAATAGTTCCATAATCACAGCCCTGAAGCATTCCCAATTAAGGCATTAAGATAACCAGTTACCATATACTTAGAAGCCCACAGTTCTTTTTATCTGCTGAAATGTCATAATTAGTAGTCTAGGTTTGGTTTATTTTAGTTCTTGTACTCAGAACTTATTTTAATTTAAACAATAAAACAGCACATTTCCTGTATCTTACTCCTGTGCCAGATGCAGTGACCTTCAGTTTAATACTGGAAAATGGCTTATCAAATAACAAGTGAAATACTGTGGTGAAAAGACAGAGAATTGGGTACTAAGTGCAGTGCATGCTTTCTTCCCAGAGGGCAGGGCCAAGGCATCTTCTGCCCTAAGTGTGCCCAGGGTGGCACACAGGGATGCTCGCTGAGCACCTTTCATTCTCACACCACTGAAAGTGCGGACACATGATTGAGACATACAACTCGAGGGGCTCCAAATGTAACCTCTAGGCTGGCCAGATGGCTCAGCGGATTAAATTGCCTGTTTAGGCAGAGGCAGGGACCAAGGTTCGATCCCCTGTATGCTGTGCTGGCCCCGTCTCCAGGGCGTGCTGAGATGGAGACTGAGACTGGGTGTGGTGGTGGGCGCCTGTAATCCTTGGGAGGCTGAAAACTGGAGGATCAGTATGAGTCTGAGCTTGGACTCGTGTATTGAGACCCTGTACTAAACTCACAAAAAATGTAAGTCTCCCAGGTCTGAGGAAGGAAATTAACCACTGCAGGTAGAGCTGGGGCTGCAGCACAGCCTGGTGGCAGAGTGCTTGCCTAGCACAGCTGGGGCCCTAAATTCCACACACCCCCACAGCTCAATGACATTATGGGCAAATTTATGGGGCTCAGTCTCATAAAATAGTGCTTATTTATTTTTAGTGCTGGGGATTAAACTCGGGGAAGCATGTGGTCTGCCACTGACCTATATATCCCCAACTCCAAAGGACTTATTCAAATTAACTAGTGTTAATTCATGAGAGGGGAAAGGAAGATGGTATCTTTAGTGTTCTGGTTACAAAGCCAGAAACTGAGAGAATACTCAGTCAAAATCCTCTCTCTAAAGCCTTCCTTTTAAAAAATTTAGAATTTATTAAGTAAACGGTAAGTTTTAACTCCTATAAGCTATGCTCACCAATGTGGGCAATTTTATTTATTTTCAGTGGTTATGCGTATTTGTTTTTCTAGACAGTCTTGCTATGCAGTCAAGGCTGGTCTTGACTTCACCTCACTATGCAGCTCAGGCTGGCCTCCAATTTATAGCCATCCTCCTGCCTCAGCCTCCCGAGTGGTGAGATTACAGGTGCATACCACCACGCCTGGCCACAACGTGGACACTTTTAAAGAGGAAGAATCATCAAGAGAAATTAGCTTTACAACATGATGATTTAGGCTTTTTGGCACTGCCCACTATTTAAGGTGGCAGAGACACAGGTCTTGGCATTGAGAGAGGAGCCAGAGAAATCTTGGCTGGCCACAAATGACAAGTAAATAAAGCTGGTAAAATTACAAGGCCTGGGCTGGGGAGATAGCTCAGCAGCCTAAGCGCCTGCCAAGATCAATCCCTAGTATGGCATGCCATGCTGGCCCCGCACCATGCTGCCCCCAAACCAGGCCTGGTGGTGTATGCCTGTAATCCCAGTGCTGGGGGAGCTGAGACAGGAGGATCACTATGAGTTGGAGCTGTGTAGCAAAACCCTGTACCAAATAAGTGGAAGATTAAAAAAAAATTACAAAAAAAAGTACAAGGCCTATGGCGATTCTTACTGAATGTGCTGCCCCCGCTCTGACTTGCTCCTCACTGTATAAGCTGCTTGCTTCTCTTAGGAATCCAAGCTCCATGATTCTCTTACTGCCAGAAAGAATGTGCTGGATGCTTTCCCCCATTCAGAAACATGTGTCCACTAGGCTACCTGGCCTCTGACAACGAATGATGCTCCTACAAAAGCAGATCACCTTCTTAGGTCTGGTCAAGCTACCTGCTTTCACATGTTATCTGCTTTTCAAGGAGAATGGGTGGCTTTTGGACTTATAACAGAGTCTGGTCATCCTGGGCTTTGAGGCTCACCTGGACCCAAAATGAGGGTTCCACCTTGCTGAGCTGGGTCTCCTTGGAAATCAAAGAGAGGGCCGGTCACTGCCCGCCACAGGCTCCGCAGGCTTCCCGAGAGGAGGTTCGACTTGACATGGGGACTCTGTTCTGAAATACCAAAAACTATCTTTAGGGTTTGTTTTGTTTTTTGGTGCCAGGAATTGAACTTGGAACCTTGCCAGGCAAGCACTGTACCACGGAGCTATATCTCCAACCCCACAAGAACTGTCTTTAGATTGTCACTTTTTATTCCATTAGATATTAAGATGTTAATACTTCCATAAAGCATTCTCTCCCTTATGTAACATCTTAGTTTACTTTCTACTTATCACTTAAAAAAAAATATTTCCCTCAAAGCCTGGCTTTTCAGCCTTTCACTGTTGCCACTTTGGCCCAGATAATCCTCTGTCCTGGGTAGTGTGAGGCAAGAACATCTCCAGACCCTGCTCAACACTCTGCTCAGAAACTACTTCCTAAGAAGAGACGCTAGATCCAGAACACAGAAAAATGATAGCTGTGTTGGGGTTGTACAGTATTTGCCTACAGTGAACAAGGCCCTAGGCTCCATCCCCAGCACAGAACGAAGAAAATAGGAAAGGACAGGACAGGACAGGACAGGACAGGACAGGACAGGTCAGCCATACGGAGGCTCCTGTTTTGATTTTCATTCCTCTCTGTCCAGGTTCTCACCAGCTAATAGAAAACACTCCTTTTCAAGACACCCAGGAAAGAAACTATTCAGTGCTAGTCCAAGCCTGACTGCTCTGTGGGCCATAGCCAGCCCATCTTCTGTGGCTTTCCTTGCCATTTGGAATAGCACATGAATGCATTCTGACCCATTGGTACAGTGACCCAGAAGCTGCCCAGGAGCAATTCTCCTTCCCTTGATGGCCTTAGAGGCAGGACTCAGAAGGTAGCTGGTCCCCAGGATTGCTGCCTACAGGAGTGGTACCCCAGTGAATATAGCCTTCCTGAAATTTAAAAGTACCTTAGCCATTCTGCCCCTGTGGTTGCTCTCACAGCAGCCCCCCACCATGTGGTCCCCTGCTTCTGCTCTCAGCTGACAGGTAACTTCACTTCTACCCCCTCTGAGCAGAGCTGCCTCTTGACTATTCCTATCACTAACTTTTCTTTTATCTCTGCCTTTAATGTCCAGCTTCCAGTTTTCTACTCTGGAGCTTCCAGCTCAGTCTCTCCTACCGTACTCTTACAACAGACAAGAGGAAGAGGAAGGAAATTAAACACTTGCAAGTAGAGCACTTGGTACCAGATGCAAGGGAGCTTCCCTCTGCTGAGACTGGCTGGACATCCCAGAATCCAGTGGGATTTGACACTGTCCAACTGGACATGTCATGTCACACCAGTCAAGAGTTCAGTCCCTGACTGTCCCTCCTCCTGCTCTGACACCAGTCCCAAGTCTTACACCTGCTTCCTACCACTGCCTGTCAGGGTTCGACGGGGCTCAATGAGTGAGGCTCACTGGGATTGAGTAAGTCACTTACAGAGCTCAGGAAAATGCTTACGCTTCCCAGTTTATTATGAAGGACGTTACTAAGGGTGGGGATGAAGTGATGCAAGGGTTTCGACTTAGGGAAAGTGATGGAGTTCCTATTGCTCTGGGCCCACCTCAGGACCCTCACTCTCTCTGGGTCTGCAGGGAGCGTGCCCTGCAGAAGTGACTGAGCAGCCAGCCACTCAGAAGGGCGGCTGGCCAAGGGCTTGCGGCCCAGCGGGGACCCAAGGCAGGTCAGAGGGTGCCTTCACAGCCAGCTGTGGAACAGAAGGCAGGGAAAGGTGAGGATCACTACAAGTCCGCCCTGTGTAGCGAGACCCTGTACCAAAAAAATAAATAAATAAAATCCTATGCTAGAGAAAGAGAAGGAGATTTTGCTGTCTTTATGAAAGCTCATCATCAGGTTTAGTAAGGGTTTCTCTAAAAACACCAGTAAAGGGGTGGTGGCAACTCTGCCTCTTGAACAGACCCAAATCTATTGCCCTCCCCACTCCTCTGGAAGAGTCCTTGTTTCAGTCCAGAATTAGGAAGGATCTACAGAGAAGCTGGAGAAATGGAGCACAACACAGAGAGGAAAATGAAGCAACCAGACACTAACCCTAGCTCTCAGGACTGGTCCCGCTGACACAAGGTGAGCCTGGACAGGGCCGGCAGCTCCAGGGAGAAATAACAGACTGGCCAGCAGTACTGGCCCCAAGAAAATCCCATGCTATTATAAACTGCAAACAGCACAGGCTTTCACTGGGAAAGCAAGTCCTTTGTCAAGGCGGGCTGGAGTTGCATGAGAAACTCAGTGGTGGCCATTAAGTCTGAGGGGGTTTAATTAGAAACCATTTGAGGAAGGGGTTAACTGTGTAGCCCTGAGACACAGAACAACTACAGAACAACCAGTGAGAGGGAGGGAAATGGCTACAAAAGACAGGTGTTGACAGGGCATGGCTAGGCATAGACCCCCTGAGAAGTTTAAAGCTCAGGGTGGGAAGAACACCTGAGCTGAGAAGCCAGGATAACTGTGTGTGGCTTTCAGAGGTTTCTGGATCTGAAAGAGCTGGTGTCAAGTCCAGTGAACTGCCCACCCTGCTCCCAACGTCTAACGGAGACCTGAGAGATGCGGTCAAGGACACACAGCTGCCACAGCTGGTGTATGCGGACAGATCCCTCTCAAACCCACAGGTGAAAAGCTAATCAGAGAAAGCCATGCCTTCCAGTGCACAGAGGGACGGGGAAACTGGAGGGGAAGGACACCAGTGGTCAACATGCCCAGCAGCCCAAGGTGATAGGTGGGGCAGGATTCAGCATTCCCTCACAAAAACCTGTGTAGAAATACAAAATAGGGCTGGTGAGATGGCTCAGTGGTCTAAAGCACCTACTTAGAACAAGCTTAGCAAAGCACAGGGACCACGGTTCAATCCCCCAGCACCGCATGCCAGCCAGCCCTGCCCCCTGGTGGGCTGAGCTGGCCACACACACACACACACACACTTAAAAAAAAAAAAAGAAGAAATACAAAATAGGTTTTAGTAGTGACTTACTACCTTTTCCCCATATCTGCAGACCCTGGAAAAGGGAAATCACTGATTCAAAGACAAGAATTGTTTATGGACTCCTTTCTTTTTACTCCATTGGTTTTGGGTTATTTGGTTTTCTGACACAGGGTCTTGCTTACATTCCAGGTTGGTTTTGAACTCATTATGTAGCTCTGATTGGCCTGAAACTTGTGGCAATCCTCCTGCCACAGCCTCTCAAGTACTGGGATTACAGGTATGTACCACCATGTCCAGCCTTTTGTCTAATTCTTAATTTCCTTTTACTCCTTAATAGGATCTTTTATCTCACCTTTCTCTCCTCATTCTCATCATCCTTTTTCTTTTTCAAATTTTACTTCTTTCACCTCCCCATCCTGCCCTACATTCCTATCTTCAGTAGTATTACTAGTAGGCTTTACTCATCTTCAGATATTCACTTGACTCTATGCTACTATTGAATTCTTTTCACTACTATTGGTAGTTGTCTTAGTAACTTTTCTTTAATTGCTGAAACAAACTACCCAACACCTGAAGTTAAAGGAGGAAAGGTTTATTTAGTTTGTAGAAGTTTCAGTTCATATTTGGCTGGTTCTAAGGTAGGAGGCAACAGGGGTGGAAGACAGCAAAAGCAACAAGAGAGAAAGAACAGATCTCTTTTCGTAGCTTATGCTGTATCCAAAATAAATTAAAGGGATATATACAGAAAATGAGGAAGTCCAATTAATATTTGCAAATGACATCATATTTTATATAGTGTATAGCCTCAACATTCACAACAGAAAATATTTCTGAATACCCTTCTGAGGAAGTAAGCTATGAATGAAAATGCTTGTATGAGCCGGCTTTCAGGTTCCCAAATTAGTGTTAATATGTTGCAAAACCATTTGACAAAAGAAAATCATTTGTGAATACTTTGGAAATAAAAAGAAGATCCAAAACCTTCCAACAACAACAAAAAAACCTCCTAGAACTCATAGCCAAACTCACCAATGAAGCTGGACACAAAATGTGATGGTCCTGTTAACTTGAGAAGCTTAGTTAAGAGCTTACCTAAGTTGGCTCAGGAATTCCAGCCCTAGGGGAAATGAGGACCGAGCTATTCCTGTTGTTTGGAGCAGTAAAACAAGGCCAGTCCTGGCCTTCACCTTGGATGTCATGAGAAAGAACTATGATGTTACATACATGGACCAACTCTGCATGATGAATATGATAATTATGTACTCCAAACATAGCCTAATAAAAATAAAATTTAATAAACCAACTTTTTTCCTAACTAAACACAAATACATACTTCAAGTAAAGTTCACCAAACACCTTTCTGATTTTGGTTTTCTTTTGTAGTACTGGAGGATCAAAGCCAGGTCCTCACACAAGCTAGGCAGGAGCTCCAACACTGAGGCACACCCCCAGCCCTTCTTAAAATGTTATTTTAAAGGCTGGGTGTGGTGGCACATACCTGTAATGCCAGCCTGGGGGGGGGGGCTGAGGCAGGAGGATTGCCTCATGTTGCAGGCCAGCCTGGGCACAAAAGGAACTGTGGTAAAGAAAGGAGCATAGACAACATAAAGATTACATACATCAACTTTTCAGCTAACTACATAGTGATACCTGACCCCCTGTGATGAGTTAAGAGACTACACAGTGTAGTACAAGGTGCCTCCGAGGTGTAAGGAGGAAAGCGATCCCCTCTGCTTGAAGAGCCACTAAGGGCCTCTTTGGTAACAGTACTTCCATTAAGCTGGGCGTGGAGGAACATGCCTGTAATCCCAGGACTCAGGAGGCTGAGACAGGAGGAGTGCTTTGAATTTGAGGTTGGCCTGAGCTACAAGAGTTCAAGGGCAGCCTGAACTATATAGCAATAACCTGTCTCAAAAAAAAGCATTCTTTCACTAAAGATCATGGGGGAGCTAAAACCATGATGTTGAGATATGTAAACACATGAAGTTAGTATTATTATTTTTTTAATTATTAAAGCAAATGTAGGGGCTGAGGAGATAACTTAGTAGAATAAGCACTTTCCTGGTAAGTGCAAGGATCTGAGTTCAATCCCTAGTTCCGCCAAAAAAAAAAAAAAAAAAGCAAATTTACTTGTAAAATATACAAAACCCACTAGGGCATGGTGGTGTACAACCATGATCCTAACACTTTGATACACTAAAGCAGAGCTGCAAGCTGGAGTCCAGCTTGGATAACTTAGTGACTTAGCCAGACCCTGGAAGGAAACAAGAGAGGGAGGATGGACGGGCAGGCAGGCGACATAGTTTAGTCCCCAGGCCCTGGGTTCAATCCCCAGTACACGCCTTTCCCCGCAAAAACCCAACTGAGCCAATTTTCTCACTTCTACCCTGGGGCAAATACTATAACATATTCTAAAACCTTTCCATTTTACATACACATACACCTAGTATTTATGTGTATAAAAACATTTCACAAAAATGGAATCACACACAAAACTGTTCTATGAATTTTTTCTTTCACAGTACTTTTCTGGGAGCCTTCCATGTCTTCACACTAAAAAAAATGAATCTTTTCGACCACTTAGAAAAATCACAAAACAGCCTGATTATGAAAATGTCATTTGCTTCCACATGTATGCATGTATTGATATACATACACACACATATGAAAAAATAAGCCAGCATCTTATTGTATCTGAGATGCGTTGTACCTTACCTGACAAGGAAATTTCTTCACCTCTTTTCATTCCCAATCTTTTATAAATTTCTCTTTCAGGATCAACATAGATTTCGTGGGAATATCCAGTCAGCCTGCAGAATGGCTGAAGAAAGAACAGTTGGAACTTTTATAAGAAAAATGGGAAAAAAAGCAATGATCTCTGGCTTCAGCCAGTGTAGCCTATACTCAATGGTTCATATAATGCAGTTTTCCTGTAAGAACCACATTTGACCTATTAGAGCCCCTATTTCCTAAATATTTACCTCAATATGATGGTAGGATGATTGTCCAATCACTATAAGGGTGACATCTGCTTCCTTTGGGAAAAAAACAACACACAGGCAATATTACAAATTACATTTTAAACAATTTTCCCTAATCTTGACTCTGGTTTTATTCTAACGCCATCTATTGGTTCCTAGGAGAATGGAACGAACAGCAAAACTGTGAATCAAAGGTTTTCTAAAATGTTTGATTAATTCACTCCATTCTTTCCCTAAGTTAGAAGTGCTAACTCTTTCTTTTCTTTTTTTTTTTTTTTAGAAGTGCTAACTCTTAATCATCAATTCTTGAATCTGTAAAACTACTAGAAGGAAACATAGGAGAAAAACTCTGTCTTTTGTTCAGGTCATGATTTCTTGGGCGTCGGCTCTTGGGAGGCTGTAAACAGGCTATCACTACGAGTCCAATCTAGTAGTTAGACCCTCAACACCCTGTAGACCCTTCCCTAAAAGGGAAAGTTCTAAAAAAAAAGATTTCTTGGACAGGACCCCTGAAACACAGGCAATGAAAACAAAAACTCACAAACGAGCTTCCATCCAAGTAAACAGCTCATGCACAGCAAAGGAAACAAGCAGGAGTCAACTCCCAGACTAGAAGAAACACCTCCGCAATGGACATTTTCTAGGAGTCTGAAACCCAAAAACTAACCGGGAGTGAAGGCTCATGTCTGTAATCTCAGCATTTGGGAGGCAGAGGCAGGAGGATTGTTTTGAGTTTGAGGCCAGCCTGGGCTACACAAGGCCAGCCTGAACTACATAGTGAGACCCTGTCCGAGAAAGACCAAAAGAAAAACAAAACAAACAAACAAACAAAAAAAAAAAAAAAAAGAAAAGAAAAGAAAAGAAAAAGCACTGCAAAAACAAAAATGAAAAGCAAAGCAGAAACCAAAACCCCGTGAAAGACCTGAATAGACATTTCTCGAGAGCCAACAAATATCCAACCAGTTTATGGCAAAATGCTCACCAGCACTAATTATCAGGGAAGTGCAACTCAGACACTGAGATACCAGCCGCCTCACATCCGTTACAAGGCGAGGCCTATTAATTAAAAAGTCAAAACAAATGTTTGTGAGGATGTGGAGAAAGGAGAACTCTTGCCCACTGTAGATGGGAATGTAAATCAGTACTACCATGATGAAAATCAATGTGCAATAAAAATAGCACTACTGCATGATTATGCAGTCCAATCACTGGGAAGTAAATGAAATCAATCTGTCAAAGAGGTATTTATATGGGCTGGGGAGATAGCCTGGCAGTCTAAGTGCCTGCCTGGCAAGCGCAAGGACCTGGGTTCAAACCCTGGTACCCAATCCCTAGTACCACATGCCATGCAGGCCACCCAAACCAGTCATGGTGGTTGGCCTGTAATCCCAGTGCTGGGGAGGCTGAGGCAGGAGGATCACTGAGGATGAATCTGAGCTGCGTAGTGAGGCCCTATACCAAATAAAAGATTCTAAAAAATAAAAGAGGTATCTATATACTGCCATATGGAGAAAGGAGAACTCTTGCCCACTGTAGATAGGAATGTAAATCAGTACTGCTGTGATGAAATGAGTGTGATCTCATGATGATACCAGCACTATTCACACTAGCCAGCATAAGGAAGCAGAAATCCATCGTCCATCAAGGGACGAACGCATAAAGAAAATCTAGTATCACAACGGACTAGCCATCAGCCATGAAAAGAAGGAAATTTTTCTTTCCTTTGCGACATGAATCATGATCATAACAACATGTTAGTTATTATGATCTGTATTTTTTTTTTTGGTACTGTGGAATGAAATAGGGCCCTTGCACTGCGCCACATCCCCAGTTCTTTTTATTTTCAAGCAGTTTGCACTTGAATTTTGGATCCTTCTGCCTCAGTTTCCCAGGGACTAGAAGGTTTAGAAACAGGACGTTATGGTAAAGTGAGCTAAGGCAGGCCCGTAAAGATGAGTAGCACACGACCTCGCTTAGTAAATGCAATCAAAAAGGAGAGAAGAGTTGTTACCAGAGAACAGATGAAAAGTCCTGGAGACTGGGGGGATGTTCAAAGGGTGTAAGTGTCCTGTAATTTCTTTGTTTTTTCCGGTACCGGGGATTGAACTCAAGACCTTTGCAAGCGCTTATTCTACTGAGCTATCTCCCCTGCCCTCCCATAAATGGTTTAGAAATAAGCACAGCAAGTTGATTACAGTTGTTAATGTTCAGACACTTTATTTTTATGAGGAACCCGCGATTGAACTCAGGCTCTTGTGCTTGCCAGGGAAGCGCTTATTCCACTGAGCCATCTCTCAGGCTTCCAGATGCTTTAATAAAAATATAAAAACAAAAACTAAAAAAATAGGGCTATCTAATCAGATACTTCTATTTTTTCATACCCTAATTGATATGATTTGCACACTGATTAGTTTTCTCCAGGCCGATCAATGCCTTCACTCAAAAAGTCCCTGTAGGGTTGCGGGTGCAGCTCAAGGGTGGAGGGTTTGCCTAGAGGAGTTCAAGCCCCAGCACAGAAAAAATAAAACAAAACAAAACAAAATCCCAATATATTAAAACATAAGGCTCAAACGGGACCAAGCTCACCTATACCTGAAGAAAGAAAAAACAAACAAACAAACAAACAAGGCCCAGGGAAGTTGAAGCCTACTGATAAATATAAATTGGCCCCCTTAAGGTATATTAGTGTCCGCGTTCTGTAATGAACTATATGCTGATGAGTAACACAGAACAAGGGAGTGCCAATTATCTCCAG